ATCTACTGATAACACTGGCCGACTGAGGGCGTATTTTTCTATCCGAATTATCACCTCATGAATATTCATTTTAATAATTAACACAAACAATTACAATAAAAAATGGTTTATAAATTGAACTAAAAGGGAAACTACACATGCGAAAAACACGGGTTTTTTTCAAATTTTAGGCTAATGCATTTTCAGGAAGCTTGGGTAATTCTGAGCAATTTGTTTTCTAAATCTTGGGTAATTTTGACCCAGTCATTGTGTATATCAAAATTTGTGAGTGGTCACGCTGATCTAGAGGTTATGCACTTGCGTACGAAGACCCAGAGGGGACGGGATAAAAAAAAAATATCACGTACGTACGTATTATTATCACGTACGTAGGCCTACGTGATAATTATCACGTCGTACGTAATAGTAACACGTACGTACATATTACTAATAAGTACGTACGTGAAAGTAATACGTATACGTACGTGATAGTAGACAGTTTTGGCAAACTCCGTATCCGTATGCCTATGGATGAAATTCGCGTACTACGTACAGTCTTTGTGTAGTACTGTAGCGTCAATATACGGGTTTTCGATGCGTTTTGGCGTATTGAGCCCATTTACATAAGTTGAAAAACATATGAAGTTATTCTGGTATATTACTTTTTTAAGCTTTAAACTATTCAAGGCAATGCTGACAAAGTTTTGGACTATAAATTCTGCATGCAAGTGATACAAAGTCAAATTTGGCCTGACTGTCAAATCAACCTAGTCCTAGGGCCTAGGCCTAGCTTGAGGCCAGTGCCTATGCCTATTACTAGGGCTGGACTAGGTTAGCCTAGCTAGCACATAGGCCTATAGGCTTATAATTTGCTGTCGGACCTAGGCCCTAGCCTTAAGCTGAAGCCTAATTAAGCAATCAAAAGACTGTCATAGTCATTAAAAAAAGCCGCTGCTATTAGCGGCTTCCTGCTTTTCATGTACGCTGCCATTTTAAGTGCTACTGCCCTCTACGGTACATCACATAATTTTTGCACAAATGGAAAAGCTATAGACTCGAACTTATTCGTATACGTGTTCTGAGACGGATTAGTATGCGTATGTACGTTAGTTTGCCCAAACTCTCTATACGTACACATGATAGTAATACACGTACGTGATAATAACGTACGTATTAGTAATACGTACGTACGTGATAGTACTACGTACGTACGTGATAGTATTACGTACGTACATGATATTAGTACGACGTAGGCCTACGTGATAGTAATACGTAAGTACATGATAGACGTATGGTACGTAGGCCTACGTGATAGTAAAACGTGGTACGATATTGCGTACGTACATGATAATATACGTTCGTACTTGATAGTAAGTAGCCGTGTGTCGTAGAGTTAGGTGAGAACGGGTCCCAATGCAAGATTGATTGCTGGGCCCATGATGTGAAACGTCAACATCGAGGGTCGTACACCTGAGTTATGGTTAGTATAGAGAGGGGTGCTGAAAGCTATCAATTTTCTCCATGAAAAAAGTGTGTAACCAGCAATGCCATATAACGAAGCGGCCACAGGCTCTGTTGATACTTCCAATATGCCTACATGTAATTGGTATAAAAATAAAGTAGCAAAAATGTATATATATTATATATATTATGTATATTATATATTATACATTTATATATGTACTAATTATTATATTAAAATTAAACAGACTTGATTTGATATGGATTCTTTACCTTTAATAATATTAATTGAATAGAATTGTTTACTAACTAAATTATACCAATATCTATGAACTGTCTCTTATACACATCTAGATGTGTATAAGAGACAGTATATATATATATAAATGACCAACAAACACACAATCATAAAATCGACATTCTAATCATCTAACCTATCAATACCATAAAGCAAAACTGTATTAAATTTTTGTCCAGAAAATTTCCACTAAATTTATAATTGTCCTTTAGTTCTGAAAATGTATTCATCCAAAACTACACACATTCTTTTTTTAAGGATGTTCCACCCTGCTTCAGTGCGTTGGTTTGCAGTGCTCTGTTCATACAAAACTCTTATGGTCTGCCAAATCATCAATGTGATTCCGTCTCAAAAATGTTTGCAGGTCTCTCACTATCCCATTTTCGGTTCCTCTGTCGGCCACGTACACGATGTGGGCATCCTTCTTCAGTAAAGTATCCTGCAATCAATCGTAGATCACTACTTGTATGGTAGGCTTAAAGTCATATCATTTTTCTTTAAAAATCCGTATATGCACCCATTAATGCAAACACCAAATAGCTTTGTCGTATGATTCAGAGTTTAACCTCCTTTGGAGTCTCCGTTTACGTCACTGTCTTATAATAATAATAATAATAATAATAATAATAATAATAATAATAATAATAAAAATAATAATAATAATAATAATAATAATAATAATAATAATAATAATAATAATAATAATAATAATAATATGTTATGATATTCTTAATCCATCAGTCACACATTTTGAATGCATCTAACGATGTCCGTGTAACTGTGAAGACGTTTGTAGTTTGTCAAATATATAAGTGGCTACATCCAACATATTTGAATGTTTCCGTCTATACAAAAAAGGCCCGGTCAGAATCCGTTTGAAATGCCTATGACTATTATACGTTTTGAAGCTAGGTAATACAGAATTTCTGTTTGACTAAACCCTAAATCAAAGTAGAGACGTACTGCTGATCTCTATCTATTCAAATGGTATGCTGGCCATAGAGCCGGACAATGCTGCACTGATCCTTCATTTTGATAAATGACTTGTCACATAGGTAAATAATAATACGTAGGCCTACGTACGTATTACTATTTCGTACGTACGTATCATTATTATCTTTTCATAAAACGGATTGCTACCCGGAAATATACAGAAGCCGTCCATGTATCAAAGCAGATCTCACGATAAATTTACAGCAAACTAAACCGATATGTACCTAAATAATGTTATTACTCCCTAGCCACCGTTTTACCACAACACCGAACTATTACAACCAGTATCGGTGAAACTGTTCACCTGGTAATGATTCTTAATGGTGATAATGCCAATAGCTTACGATGGAAAAAAGACGGGGGATCCGATATCATGGAGTGGGAAGGCTTAAGCAACGTGAGTCTTAAAATCATTGGGAAAAAAGACGCCGGTATCTATGAATGCTACCCGGAAGGACGACGACATTTAGGTCAACACGCTATACTACGATTACTTGTTAGAGGTAATTTTTTTTTTGTTAAAAAGGCCAAAACAAATATTTAATGCAAGTGTATTTATGTTAAGTATGTTAAGCTGTTTTTGTAAAGCGCTCTATCAGTTAATATATATTTAATATTTTCATTATTATTATATATTGTTATTGTAATCGTTACTATAAGAATTAACTATTATTATTATTATTATTATTTTTATTATTATTATTCATTGCAGTCATAATTATAAATATAGAAATTATTTACATAAGCATTATCATAATCCCTTTCATTACACTTATTATCATCATCAACATCACCACCATCATCATAATTATTTTCCCCTCATCCTCATCATCATCAGTCATTACCATTATTATTATTATTATTATTATTATTATTATTATTATTATTATTATTATTATTATTATTATTATTATTATTAT